ATTCGTACCCACTAAAAACCACACGATGTACCTCGAGGCGCTTATGTTGGATCCCGGGTTCCCGTTTGTACGACTACCGAGTATCCAACGCGACGGCCCGCCCTGTAGGTGGTGTAGGGCAGGCCTTCTCTCTTAGTTAGGGTGGGGAATGTCCCTCCCACCCTACCATCACAGGAGGGCACGGATACGTGCGCGCACCTCCTAGGGTCATATGAAGGGTGTGCCTCCCTCAAGGCAACACCCCGACCCTAGAACACTAACACCTAGGGTTGCCAACTCTTAAAATTCTTGGGTACCTCTGCCCCATTCGTTTTTCTGGGTCTCTTACCGCCCCCCTTTAGGCCTGCAACGCGCACTTTGGGAATGGCTGCTCTATGGGATAACTCCGCCATTGTATATTAAATCTTTTAATGTGTCCAATGTAAATTGTATACAATAAATATTTTATAATAATAATAATAATAATATTTCTTTATTTATAGATTACAAAGATCCATTCTTGTTAGTAACAATCGACTTAAACTATGTTAGTAGAAAAAAAAATACAAAATTTATTTTATGGCCCCTATAATAATTTTGACCCACAATGACAGGATCGGGCTATCGTATTTATTACATAATGCCCTCAGAATGCTGTTACTGCTGCCACGCAATCGGTATAAAAGAGATGCGATCCGTTTGCGTCCGATGGCATAGAATTTACTGGGTACAGAGGAATAACACCTGAGTCCTCAGGAATGGCAACGCATGGGGGGTATCATGGGCGAAACAGTATACTCTGTTATGTCCATGGTACTGCTCATGTCTATAGGCGACGGTTACCACTTTCCTTCAGGTGGGCCGTCAGCTTGTTTGCCATTCTAAGTTCTATAAAAAAAAAAAAAAAAAAAAAAAAAAAAAAGTCATCTGTCGATGCCGCTGCAAACATTGTGGATGCACTACAGAAATATGGCAACCGTAGCAACACCCTGAAAACATTATTGTATTGAACACGCAGAGCATATTATAATACGATACTGTATTATTAATATATTGATAGCTTATCTTTTGTGTTGTGAGACCAACTTTAAACTTAACGTTATGTAATCCAAAATGAATGTGCCCATCTGATGTTATTTTTAACTTATTCACTTAATGTTTATTTAACAGTTGTACATAAGTAGTTTATTACTATCTCTACATTACTTGATAAACTTATACATGCCTAACTTATTGTAGTCTGATTTGACCTTATCATTAATATTGTGGTCATACATGTGCAATTTTTTCTTTTATCTATTACTAGCGACGCGCCCCGGCTTCGCACGTGTGCACATTATATCACATCACATTAGAAACCTCTAAAATTATCAGTGTTTTCTGCTATATTATGCATGTTTTATACATATAAACCTCCCTCTTGAATCACTCTATCTATTAAAAAAACCGCATCGAATTCCACTGTGTAGTTTTAAAGTTCTAAGCAAACATAGGGACAGACAGACGGGAGGCGACGTTGTTCTATACTGTGTAGTGAAGAGATGTATTTTTTTTTAATGGGTGATAATGGAATGGCAACCCCGCCCGTGCTATTGGTATACACTGGCGGGGCACCAATGAGGAATGATAGGTGAGGATGAAGCAGGTCAGTTAGCCCATCGTGACGAATTCAATAAGAATTGTTCACGATGGTTTCCAGGGGGAACCACGTGGAGGTCTAATTAATAAGACATATTGCTAGCAATGGGGCTATCAAACTTCATTGCTAATAATCCTTTTCCCCCCTGAAGAAATGTATTTTTTTTTGTTGGGTATAAATGGTATGGTAACCCCGCCTGCGCTAACGGAATACGCTGGCGGAGCGCCAGTGAAGGGTGATAGATGAGAATGAAAACAGGCCAGTTAGCCCATTATGATGAATTCACAAGTAATTAACCATGATAGTATCCAGGGAGAACCGCGAGGAGGTCGACCTATATTATTATATTATTAGTATATTGCTAGCAATAGGATTCTTAGTCTCCATTACTAACAATCCCTTTCCCCCCAGGGCAGTTGTGTTAGAGTAGATAACCTCAATAGTAAAACAAAAAAATTTTTTTTTTATTATTGACAGTCTATTGATGTGAGCTTGTCTAGTAATAAAACCTGAAGGCCGATGTCTTTTTCCTGTTGTATATTATTTAATTAAGCTTTCACCAAAAATTTGGCCCCGCGTGACGAAATTAACAATAACCACGATGGTTTCCAGAGGGTACTATGGATTGACTACTATTATTGGTGGTAGAAATTCTACCACCATTCCATATTAGCCATCAATCTCCGTACGTTATTCAATCCACACACGTGTTGTACATGACATGTGTTTCACCTTTAAACGAGGCATATTCAGACAAATTAATAGATCGCGGAAATTAATAATAAATTAAATTAATTAATATTAACACTGGAATCGTCGTTCCTGGTATAGAATAGGCCACCCCTTTCTTTCCCGTGGATGTCGTAAGAGGCGACTAAGGGAGGGCGAGCGATGGCCAGTAGCGTCCCTTTTAAAATATCTTTAAAAGATTAACTGCGGTTGCTAACACGCCTGTCAAGCGTAGCAACTACTGACAAAACTCCTCTTATGGGGAAGCATATGTTCAGCAGTGAACAGTTAAGAGCTGAAATATTTTTTTTTATACAACTTACAATGGCAAACAAGCTGACAGTCCACCTGATGGAAAGTGGCAACCGTCGCCTATAGACGTGAGCAGTACCATGGACATAACACAGTATACTGTTTCGCCCATGATACCCCCCATGCGTTGCCATTCCTGAGGACTCAGGTGTTATTCCTCTGTACCCAGTAAATTGACTGCTATATCCCACCCTTCAAACCGAAACACAGTCATGCAAACACAACTGCTTCACGGTAGAAACACGAATGGTACAGAGGTACTCAAGCAATCGACTTTTGTACAAAGTCTCCCTTTGGTAATATTGGAATTTAACAAATAAATGCAATAGACTAATCAATGAAATGGACTTCCGCTAATGTAACACTCAATACGAGTGTTACATTAGCGGAAGTCCATTTCATTTGTACTTACGTACTTGTATTATTTACAAAATGTTACAAAGGTCTTAAATTCATTCCAAATGTTTAACACATATGTACCTTTTTTATTTATTTTTTTATATCACGAAGTTGGCAAACAAGCATACAGCCCGCCTGATGGTAAACGGTCACAAGTGCCTTGCAGCACTAAAAATACCTACCTAAAAATTATAAATATGTAGTCAGATAAATGTAACTACGTCTGTTGCAGACATTATTTGGTTAAACATAATTTACAACATTAACAAGTTTTTATACCTATTTCAAGAATAAAAATAAAAGTAAAAACTTGTAAATGTATGACTATTGTTATAATATTCGATATATTCATACAATGGTTGTAATTTGAAATGGATAATTACAATATTGTATGAGTACAAAACATACATCTGTACGCGTTTGTAAGGTGAAATATAGAGGGCACGTATGTATTGTCATTTTTCCAAATAATAAATTATTCTTTGGCCTCTGAATACATATTTACATGTAGTAAATAGCGAAGTATATTTTGACTACAATTTCCCAAAATTAATGTGAAACGATATATGTTTATAATTGTATACTTTATTACTTAATTTTACTGATAGATCTTTGTCTTCTCTCTCTCTCTCTAATTTTTTTGAAAAATTGCCGTGTGATTCTTGAGTAGAATAAGTGGCCCATACTATTTTTATACCACTGAGGTGGCAAACAAGCATACGGCCCACCTGATAGTAAGTGGTTACCGTAGCCTATGAACACCTGCAATACCAGAGGTATTACGTGTGCGTTGCCGACCTTGAAGAAACCTCTTTACCCCCCTTTTGAAGAACCCCACGCTGTAGTCTCTTGGGAAAGCCTCGGCAGGGAGCTCATTCCACAACCTGTGTGTTCGTGGGAGGAAACATCTCTGAAACCGCGCAGTACGCGACCATTGAGGCTGTAGGACATGAGGATGAGCTCCCTGTCGATGGCGAGCTATTAAAAGCTGTCAAACAATAAATTAAAATAGACTGAATCAGAATGTAATAGAACATCAATAGTGTCTCTTTGTCTACAGTGCATCGAATTAATCTAAAAACATAAATCAATTTACGCGTACTGGTAACCATCGAGTCGGTTTGAGGTTTCCAACACGAACAGTATCAGTACACCTAAGTATCTTATATTATTTTCACGATTTGATATGAAGAAATAGTCGTGTAGGTCTCGGCATAGAATTGGGTACCTTTTCCGTTCCCGTGGGTGTCGTAAGAGGCGACTAAAGGGACTTAATGATCAAGGGATGGGCAGCAGCGTCCCTCTTAAAATATTACCAAACTTTAACTGCGGTTGCCAACACCCCTGCCAAGCGTGGCAACTATTGGCAATGCCCCCCCCCCCCCCCCTATAAAGGGAGGTCTGTGTTCAGCAGTGGACAGTTAAAGGCTGATATGATGATGGCATGAATGTGTATGGACGTTAGAGCAGAGGAAAAACTAAAAAGACGTGAATGGAATGGGTGAAAGACGATATGGCCAGAATGGGAGTGAATGCGGAAATTGTCAATAATTAACAGTTGATACAGCAGCATGATAAATAAATACACAAAATATGTATCTACATATTTTGTTATCAGTGATTGGTTTTTTTGATGGGTGAAAATGGTATGGTAACCCCACCTGCGCTGACGGGATACGCTGACGGAGCACCAGTGAAAGGTGATAGATGAGAATGAAAACAGGCCAGTTGGCCCATCATGATGAATTCATCAGGAATTAACCATGATAGTTTCCAGGGAGAACCGCGAGGAGGTCGACCTGGTTGGGTATATTGCTAGCAATGGTATTCTCAGTCTCCATTACTAACAATCCCTTTCCCCCCTCAGTGATGTGTTAGAAATCTATCTAGATTTCTTTCTAATATAAATGTCGCTCTCCATTATACCACTTTTTGTCATCAGGTAAAACACTCCTGGCGCAGACGATAGCGCAGTGTCTGGACGTGCCGTTCGCGATCTGCGACTGCACCACCCTCACGCAGGCCGGCTACGTCGGCGAGGACATTGAGAGTGTCATCGCCAAGCTGCTGCAGGACGCCAACTTCAAGTGAGCATAACCTAGGTCTACCATGAAATGAAATTCCGAATTTTCGGGCACAATTTCGTGTTTTTGTTCGTACCAAAATCGACCCTATAAATGTTGCCTAACATTTAATTTGTCATAAATCCTACCATAAAAGTAAAAAGGAATGATACTTTAGCATTTTTAATATTTTTAAACGGTATGTATCAAGTAATTTTAACATCAAATTTTTGTTTCGTTCGGATCCGAAATTTCGTAAAACATTTCATGGTAGACCCTCTGATCCCTGAACACAGCGACGCAATAAGACAGCAAAATGGGACCATACCTGTCTCACCAAATTTCAATGACATTTCAATTGTATTTATTTGTATTACGGTACAAAAACTTGTGTTTCCCCAGAAAAAAGACGTTTCTTGGAATCAGCTGTGTTTGAAGGGTGGGATATGGCAGTGAAATTACAGGCTACGAGGACAATATCAGATCCCAGGAATAGTAATGCATGAAGCGTAGTGTATTTTATAACGTTCATAGTGCTATTCCTATGTCTATAGGCGACGGTTACCACAATCCATCATACCTGGTAAACAGCCTGACAGCTGGTGGTGTGGTCCCGGCATAGAATGGGCCACCCCATCCTATCCCGTGGGTGTCGTCAGAGGCGACTATGGGATTTTAGTTGTCGAGAGATGAACAGCAACATTCCCCTTAAAATATCAACAGTCTAACTGCAGTTGCCAACCCGGTTGTCAAGCATAGCAGCTATTGGTACCCCCCCTCCCCCCTCCCACTCCTTACGGGAAAGACCTAAGTTCAGCAGTGCACAGTCAACAGCTGTTAAGGTGATTACCTCTTTACGTACCCCGGGATATCGTTTCGAGGGAGTTTGAAGGCAATGTGCAGTATACCAATTATTTCTATTACGCAATGTACCAGGGCAAGATAAGGGAACTTCAAACCTATAATCTACATTTAAATTACTATCTATTACTCTGTCTATGTTTTTTAGTCAATTTGAGATAAGCGACCAAAAGAATTTTGCATTGTTGCTTCATTGAAAGTTACTTTCTAATTTTTTAAGTACTACATGTAAAAGTCTTTTAAACCGCAGTACGTTTTAATATTTTTTCTCAAACGTGCTTGGAAATGTGAGCATTATTTTGACAATTTTCTTCGAGATAAATCAAAATTGCCGTACTGGCCAGATACATGCAGGTAGCGGCCGGCAAAAGTTGTATGAAAATCCATATCTGTCGTGTTTTGCGGTCAGATAAACTCCATGTAAACTCATATCTGTCCTGCAATTTAAAAATGGAATGACCTTTTACTTCGAAACATGACTACCAAGGAGGTAACTAATAAAAGGTTTTATTTAAATTTCGAACTGGTTTGCAAATAGAAAGCTGTTTTTTGAAAAAAAAAAAACAAAGGAACATTATGGCGCGTGAAAAATTATTGTTGTTCGTTATTCGTCATTGAACTTAAAAAGTAAAATAGTGTTTTTGATTTCCGCGCATGGTTTGAGAAAAGTAATATACAAGCCTTGGCTACAACTAGGCATTGATGGACTCACGTATGTGTGCCTCGGCTACGCCTCGGCCCACATTTGTACGTTCGTCCATCAATGCCCCAGTTGCTGGCCGCTGCAGTAATGTACTATAAGTAGTACATAGGAATATATTGCTTCCCCTTTCTTCCTCGTGAGTGTCGTAAAAGGCGACTAAGGGAACTTAACGGTCGAGGAATGGACAGCAGCGTCTCTCTTAAAACATTACCAAAGACTAACTAAGTTCGCCAACTTGTTTATCAAGCGTGGCAGCTACTGACAAAACTCCCCTTTATGGGGAGTCCTATGTTCATCAGTGGACAGTTAATGGCTGATATGGTGATGATGATGATGATAAATATTGTTTAAAATGTGAGTAAAATAATGGGCTTCTTTTTTTGAAATACTTTATTGTTGGGCAGTGTGGAACGCGCTCAAACAGGCATCGTGTTTCTGGATGAAGTGGACAAGATTGGCGCAGTGCCTGGTATACATCAACTGAGGGATGTCGGAGGTGATTTTTTTTTTCTTTTTTTTTTCTTTTCTTTATTAACGACTATAGGTAGTTATCTCTTATTAATAAAATGTCAATTTATTAATAGATTTAGCATAACACCTTTGTCCTCAAGAATGGCAATGCATGATATCATGGGCGACACAGTATATTCTGTTATGGTACTGTTCATTAAAGATGGATAATATCCGATATCTTGTGGGGGGGAAGGGATTGCTAGTAATGGGGAGGTTAGTCCCCATCAGGTTCATCCCCAAACCGTCAAGTTGTCGTCAGGCCATTCTAAATTGTATTTTTTTTTATACAACTTAAAATTGCAAACAAGCTGACGGCCCACCTCATGGAAAGTGTTAACCGTCGCCTATAGGTATGAGCAGTAGTTTCGCCCATGATACCCCCCATGCGTTGCCATTCCTGAGGACTCAGGTGTTATTCCTCTATACCCAGTAAATTCACGCCATATCTCACCCTTCAAACCGAAACGCAGCCATGCAAACACAACTGCTTCACGGTTGAAACACGAATGGGACAGAGGTACCCATGCAATCGACTTTTGTACAAAGTCTCCCTCTATTTTTTTTTTGTTTTATTCTAATTACTGATTGACTCATCACTTCCATATGTTGTATACAGGCGAGGGCGTCCAACAGGGCATGCTGAAGATGCTGGAGGGTGCAGTGGTGTCGGTGCCGGAGCGGAACTCTCGTAAACTGAGAGGCGACGCGGTGCAAGTGGACACCACCAATATACTGTTCGTAGCCAGCGGCGCGTACAACGGACTCGACAGGTGAGATATCATCACCGTTTTTGTATTTATTCGTATTGAGGATAGTTTTTTTTTAATGGGTGATAATGGTATGGTAACCCCGTCTGCGCTATCGGTATACAATGGCGGGGCACCAGTGATAGATGACTGATGAGGATGAAAGTAAGTCAGTCCACCGTGATGAATTTCACAAGAATTAACCATGATAGTTACCAGGGAGAACTGCGAGGAGGTCGACCTGGTTGGGTATATTGCTAGCAATGGGATTCTCAGTCTCCATTACTAACAATACCTTTCCCCTCAAGCAACTATGATTAGGTATATTTTGTAGAGGGACACAGTGAAAGATAATATTCTTTAAAGCAATAATATATATAATACGTATAGATACAAGATGAGACAACCATTTGGATAGAAACAAAAACCGCGTAGGAAAATAATATCAACATATATATATGGCCAGACTTAAATTTACATTACGGCCACAAAGAAGTTTCAATATATTTGAGGCTTATAAAATAAAAAACAGCTAAATCCATGTCTGTCAAATGTTCAGAAAACTACAGAAACTAATATTTTCTCAAGAATATGAAACCATATTCTATATTTTAATGCAGATTGAAAAGAAAAAAATAGGATATTACTAATAATTTTAATTAATAGAACTTTTAAGAGAAATATTTGAGTACAGAGTGAGAATGAAATCGATTTTATAGCCCTAGATTTTGTAGGCCTCATTCACAGAGCTCAAACTTCATACAGCCTACAGTAAGTGCTCTCACACGTCTGCATAGCACTTTTGATTTTATTTATCCCCCACGTATGATCGTTCATTGGTAAAATTGGTGGGCGTGGTTGCGGTCGCAGGCTGGTGCAGCGGCGCAGCAACGAGAAGTACCTGGGGTTCGGCGCGTGGGACGCGCGCGCGGGGCGGCGCGCGGCGCTGCAGGCCGCCGCCGCCGACAGCTCGCCGCTCGACGCCGCGCCCGCGGAGAACCTCGAGCGCGACGCCTGGCTGCGCAAGGTGCAGGCGCGCGACCTCATCGACTTCGGCATGATCCCGGTACGCACACCACGCGCGCACACCACGCGCCCACACGTACACACGTGCGCACATATCGCACGCGCGCGCACACACACACACGCTCGCACACATACACACACGTACACACATGCGCGCACACATACATACACGTGCACAAGCGTACACACACACGCGCGCACACATACATACACGCGCACACAGACACACAAACACACACGCGCGTGCACACATACACACACATATTGACGTAGACCGTGTAGACGCGACATAAAATAGGCCACCCCTTCTTTTCCCATGACTGTCATAAGAGGCGACTAAGGGAGTATCATCTTATTGAATTGCCTTATTATTAGTAAGGAGCTTAATAATAGAGGGATGGGTAACCACGTCCCTATTAACATATCTCTGAAAACCTAACTGTGGTTGCCATACCGCTTGCCAAGCGTGATAACTATTGGAAATACTCTCTTATGGGGTAGGCTTATGTTCAACAATGAACAGTGGATGGCTGAAATGATGATAATGATGATGACACATAATGAACACACGCTCACGTGACGTGTTTTATTTTTAATTGGTGATAATGGAATGGTAAGCCCACCCGCGCTATCGGTATACACTGGCGGGGCACCAGTGAAGGGTGATAGGTGAGGATGAAGCAGGTCAGTTAGCCCCTCATGACGAATTCAATAAGAACTGTTCACGGGGAACCACGTGGAGATCGACCTAATAAGGCAAATTGCTAACAAAGGGGCTGTCAAATCCCTCCCCCCCCTCCACGTGACGTGTAGGTAACTAAGGTATCAATGCATTTAAGGGAATAGCACCAGTAAATTAGGCCTTAATTAGCGATAATTCAGATAAAAAGTATTCTATGTGACTTTTTTATGCAACTTAGAATAGCACACAAGCTGACTTAGATGGCCCTAATGGAAATTAATAACCGTCACCCAAAGACATGAAAAGTATCATGGACATAACAAAGTATATTGTGTCACCCACAATACCGTTTGTGTTGCCATTTACTAAGCTATAAGGTGGTATGCCATTAAACTTACTAGTACCGCATTCGAGTATTCTGACACTACCCTATGGTTGACTGGGAGAGAATGCTTTTAGCATTAAGTCCGCCATGTATAAATATATGTACTAATGAATAAATAAATAATTTATCTTATATTCTTTTTTTTTTGTTATTTACAGGAGTTCGTGGGCAGGTTCCCAGTGCTAGTTCCCTTCCACAGTCTCAACCAGGACTTGCTTGTTCGGATACTGACAGAGCCCAAAAATGCTATGGTGAGTGTTTATAAATATTTTTATGTTTGTCTTCAGCTCGCCATGCTGTGTGATTCCGGCATAAAATAGACCACGTCTTCCTTTCATGTGGGCGTCGTAAGATGCTAAGGGAACTTAATAGTCGAGGGATGGGCAGTGGCGTCTTTCCTAAAACATCACCCGTAACTGCGGTTGCTAACCCGTTTGCCAAGTGTGGTAGCTGCTGGCGCAAAAAATACACTATCTTCAATCTTGGCAAAACCTGTTATTTTGCTAGTAATTTACTACTGAACTGATTTTGATAAAATTTTCACGAGTCATAATTTGTGAGTATATCCTTCCAGTTAATTAAAAAAAAAATCGAATCGGTTTATGAATGACGTAATTGTGAGGTAACAAACATAAAAAATATACAATGGATTCGAGAAATTATTTGAAGACAGTTGAAAAAATATATTTTTGATGTTTTTTTTTTTAAAGATTTTGATGTTTTGTTGAGACATTCCCTTTTTTAGATATGACCGTTTTAAACCCCATTTGTTGATTTAAAAACTTGTATATTTCGAGTATGGTTGTTGAGGAGTGTGTGGGCGCGGCAGGTGTCGCAGTACAAGCTGCTGTTCGCGATGGACAAGTGCGAGCTGTCGTTCAGCGACGAGGCGCTGCGCGCCGTCGCCGCGCTCGCCATGGAGCGCAAGACCGGCGCGCGCGGCCTGCGGGCCATCATGGTAACTGCACGGCCTTACACGCGGTTACCGCCTACTGCTAAGCGGTTACCGTGTACTGCTAAGCGGTCACTGTGTACTACATCGTGGTTATCGTGTACCGCATCGCGGTTACCGTGTACTACTACATTACGGTTACCGTGTAATTCATCGCGGTTACTATATACTTCATTAGTCATTTATTCAAAAAGCAATGTACATTGTGCCTGAAATTAAGTTAATACAAAAAAGCATTAAATGAAATTGAATATTACCATATATTTCATTGTGGTTACTATATATATTTTATTGTAAAAATAATTATGTTTCATCATGGCCATAACATTTTATCATTTTTTTGGCAAACAAGTGTTATCGGCCATTTAAGAATTCATTAAAAGAAGAGAAAGGTGAAAACATATTTTAAATAAGTTTAAAATATGTTTTCACCTAATAAATGTTTATTTTTAGGGATTTTTTTTATTGAGCTTCCGTTAATTGATTGTCTACAATGACATGGTACGTTTTTTCAAAATACGAAGAATTAAAAATGTGTAAATAAAACATATAAGGTCTGTATATGGTCATACACATTGAGGTAATAAGTTGAAGGGGAGGGCGAGCTATGTCAATGTGAAATAAAAAAAATTGACAATATATTAATGAACAAATTTAAAGCATTTTTTTTCCTCGTCATCATAGTATTATTTCATCATAGCTTCAAGTTACTTAACGGGTTATGGAGAGGGCTATGCTCGGAGTCTCTTTGCGTGAATCCGAAACGAGGATATCCGCAAAAGAATCAAAATAATCGACTTAGCCCTAAGGATAAGCAAGCGGTGGCAATGGACTAGTCACATAGCTCGAAGAACCGATAACCGATGGGGAAGATAGGTTCATGAATGGCAACGGCGTACGGGCTAACGCAGTGTAGGACGATCCCCATTAGATGGAGTGACGACCTGAAATGCATTTTTTTTTGATGGGTGAAAATAAAATGGTAACCCAGGCTTCGCTAACGGGCTACGCTGGCAGAGCACCAGTGAAGGGTGATAGATGAGAATGAAAACAGGCCAGTTAGTCCATCATGATGAATTCATCAGGAATTAACCATGATAGTTTCCAGGGGGAACCGCGAGGAGATCGACCTAGTTGGGTATATCGCTAGCAATGGGATTCTCAGTCTCCATTACTAACAATCCCCTTCCCCCCTACCTGAAATGCATTGCAGGGTGTCAGTGGATGCAGGTAGGTCAGGACTCATGGGGGAGGCTTATGTCCAGCAGTAGTTGGATAATGGCTGAAGCGACGATGAGGACGGGAGTGATTATGTTATTGATAAGTGTCGGCGTGCGTGCGCAGGAGAGCCTGCTGCTGGAGGTGATGTTCGAGATCCCCGGGTCGGACATCGCGGCCGTGCACATCCACGACGGCTGCGTGTCGCGCGCCGAGCCGCCGCGCCTCACGCGCCGCGCGCCGCCCGAGCGAGCCGCCTGCGACTGGCCCTCGGTCCGTCTGCACAACTAAATATGTATGTATATATATTTGTTCTCACTGTGCATGCTCTTTTTTAATAGGTGTAAATGAAATAGTAACCCCGCCCGCTCTATCGGTATACACTAGCGGGGCACCAGGGATAGATGATAGGGGAAGATGAAGCAGGTCAGTTAGCCCACCGTGATGAATCCACAAGAGTTAACCACGATGGTTTTCAGGGGGAACCGAGTGGAGGTTGACCTGATAGGGTATATTACTAGCAATGAGACTGGTAGATCCTACTACTAACAATCCCTTCCCCCCATGACCGTGTATGCTGTTGGCCGCAGATGGCCTTTACAGCTTCACCGAACGCGTATGCAGGAGCGAGTGCAAACGGGACTCCCAGCCCGTGAAAGGGGAGCAACTTATGGACTGCGGCGTACGTCCAAGGGCGCCAGAGTAGCCCGGACCGGACTCAGGTGTTATTGCTCTGTACCCAGTAAATTCACGCCTTTGTATAAATGTACCTATATTATAGTAAGTAATAAATCGTTTTCCTTTCAGAATGTCAAGATAACCGTGTCTCAACCATCTGCCACTCAATCGTGTGCGCTATGAGCGGGAACAAGTATGGTGGGTACAACGAGCACAGACACGGCCGGTCGCCGGCCGCCGGCCGCCAGATGGTGTTGAATAGCGAATAATTAGTGCAATCTGTGTTTCGTAATGAATCGGTTTAATGGGCGTTCGTAGATTGGTATAGAGGTGATGCGTAGTGGTCCCTCTGTCGCGCGATAGTCGAATTGTTGTATTAAAAAAAATTTCCGTTATACCAGCCCTAATACGTTATGGGCCCAGGCAACTTTGTATTACCAATGAAATCGCTAATAAAGTACATACTATGTAAGTGATAATTTTGATGTCGAATCCCCGGTACATTGAAACTTTAGTAATTATAGAAAATAAATTTTGTATTTTGTTTTTGAATTTTTCAAATACTATATAGCAAATCATTGAATTACATATTATAATAGAAAAAAAAAAACATTAAAATACAAAATTTCATTATTTTTACAAGATTTGACTTCAGGTTAGAAAACATCCTGTTGCACTTTAAATGTTTAAATAACGTCATTGGTATCCCTTTAAAAAAAATATACTAAAAGGGTACCTCCAAGTTAGTATATAGAGATGAATTTCTCGTATTTCGATCCATGTTTTTTAGAAAAAAATATTCAATTTTACTCTTAGAACTTTTTCTTTGAATTTCGTTTTGTTTCTTAATATTTGATAATTTGTTTAAATTTGAAATAATAAGAAGGTAATAACAATGTTGCCAGTATGAGGTCTCTGTTAACGAATTCTCTCTCATCAAATTGTAATATAATACTGTTGTTCAAACACTAATGTTGTCTATGCAAAATATTGGAAGCTGAGAAAATATTTAAGTAAATGAGTTGACAATTTCCTTTGTTACAAGATATTGAGGCGCGTTCCAAAAAAAAAAAAAAATATATATATATATAAGTCCGCGCTCTTCAGGTGTCTCTGATCTCTACGTCCATAATCTGACAACATTAAACATGTTCATTCATGCAATTCAAAAAAACCTAATACATACTTGAATAAATAAATAAATTTTATTTGGATATGGTATAAACAGAGCCAAGTTTTGTCCAATGATAGTTCCGTGATAGGAAAATTACAGGCAATTCGATAAAATTTGAGAGTTTGAAGTTTGAACTAGTGTGTTTAAGAGTGTTTAGATTACAGCTGCATTTCCAATACGCTTAGTACTTGGTAATTTGTAATGAGAAATTTGCTATGACGTCCTAATTTTAATAAAATAGGTAAAAAAGATTCACCAGCAATAAAAAAATTATTGGTAATCGTAGTTTACATATTTAGTAAACCAGGCGAGAGGCCATTTTGTTTAGTGAATTCTACATTACAAAATGGCCGCGTCAAAATTAAAAAGAAAATTAAGTTAAAACACAAAAACTTTGTAAACTATTTCAAATAAATTAGTTTACTATTTTTTTGTGTCTTTTATTTTATACATTCAAACAATACTGCCTAAGGAACGCGCCTGATTTTTTACAAACAGCATTTTACAGAAATTTGACAGTAGACGATACTGCCTGGAAACTTAAAAAAAAAAAACTGCAGTATCGTTAAAAAGTCATATTTCTATAGCGGTATTTGTTTCAGACAAAAGTGATCTTACATGTAGTTCCTTATCATAGTTTATGTGAAAAAAAAATTAATAATAAAAAATTAATATTATTAGAATGTTGTATCGTCTCCAACCACCATACAACATTGTTCTTGTGATGTAAATTACTGTAAATATAATAGTAATTAAATATATATCATAGAAAAATGTTTAACATTAAGTTCTAATGAATAAGGTTTGTTTTCCCCAATCTATGTTGTAAGTACGAAAATTTACACAAAAAAAAAGTTTGCCTGGTATTTTTTTTTTTCTAACGGAGCTATTCCGTTGAAATTGACTTTTGAAACTTGTTACAACTATTATATATTATTTTTTTATTTATAAACGTACAGTTGTGGTGTGATTATGAAGCAGGCGTCAGAAATGTACACTTAGAAATATTTACATTCGATTTATGAAATGTGCAATGAAAATTATTAAAAAAAATAAGAGATAAAGAGAAAAAGAATTTCAAAAGTTGGATGTTTATATTTTTGGGGACCACTTTTTGCTTAAATGTGATAAAAAAAATGTAATCACATTGCAACAGGTGTAAAATAGTATAAGCCTATTTTCAAAATAAAATATGATGATAATGAATTTGTTTTTATTTTAATATCATTATTTATACCAGAGGTGGCCAACCGGACTATTAGTCCAGTCGATCGTGGCAAAGGAAAAAGTACAATGTTTTAGGTAATCAAGCCGAAGATGCTCAGACGCAATGCTCACACTAATATAAATAAGTAGCCACTAAGAATCTCTTAATAAAATATATATATATATATTCTTTATTGCACTTGTAAGTATAATTTAATGCATTTATAAATGTTGTGAGCAAGGCTGGACTTATCTCTGACAGAGATCTCTTCCAGTCAACCCAATATAGAGAGAAAGCATGTTGTTAGCGGGCAGCTGAAGTGCTACAACTATTAATCAGATGGGCCGTCAGCTTGTTTGCCATTCTAAGTTGTATAAAAAAAAAACATTAATACGTCGTTATATTGAAATACAAAGTTGATAGTAGTTAACATTAAAATATGGACTTACGTGTGCACGTTTATATAAAATAAAATATGGGATTCTAATAAAGGGCTAGAGTAGTTTTAATTAAAGATCATTTATTGTGTGAATGCTAAGAACAAGGAATTACATAGAAGGAATGATAAAATAAAAACAGTAAATCATATGGATGCCTCCTTTCTTCTTATGCAAACTTAGTAAAAAGAGGACGAAAGATACACCCTCAATTGCAATTTTTCTCAATTCATCGCAGGCTAGTGTATAGAAAATGTTTGATATGTCAATATAAGGAAAACTAGTATAGGGGAGCTTTATAAACGCAATAGAACACAAAACAATGTTTTTTTCTGTTTGTACGATTGTGCACGTTAATCTCAGAAACGGCTCAACTAATTTGATTGCGGTTTGATCCACTTAATATTTAGTTTATTTCAATCGGTTCATAAATATAAAGAATTATATCAATCTAAATAATGCCCATCCGTGCGAAGCCGGGACGAGTTGCTAATAAACAATATAAATAAAAATATACTTGAACATAATAATAATAATAAAATATGATATACTAACATAAATAAACACAAATAATATATACATATATATGAACATATAAATGCAAACTTACATAAAGATAAATATTCTAATATATTGCGATGGAAATGATTTACTTAAATAACATTTTTTATTGGTAACGTAAAATTTGACAGTGATTTTATTTTTCTCATGGAAACTTTAAAGTTTATTTCATCATGGTTCTATAATAACCAATCATAAGATTGCTGACACATTAATATTTAAACAAAATAAACAACATTTAAGGAGTTAAACAACCAGTTTTCTTTTCAAGCTAATGTTCAAATAACTGTGATTTTCCATTATATCGATTAAAATATTTACCACTTCGTAAACTTCAGTATAACTCGTGTATAGTGCTGTTGGAGTCAACCGAATAATGTTGGGATCTCTGAAATCTGGCACTACTCCACGATCCTTTAAAGCTAAACTAATTCTGTATCCTTCATTGTGCTCCAAACATACGTGACCGCCCCGTTTGCTGTCTTCCCTATAATTCCCAATCGTAAATCCATATTTCTTTAGCTTCTTCTCAACTAAATACATTAAATATTTCGTAATATGCAATGATTTCTTCCGAATATTGGCCATTCCAGCTTCGTTGAACATTTTCAAAGCTCCTTTCAAAGGCGCCATTGAAAAAACATTCGGTGATCCGATTTGCCAGCCACCCGCGTCTTTTTGATGATCAAACTCTTGTCTCAAAAGGAATTGAGTCTCTACCCTGTTCCCGTACCAACCAGCTAGTCCTGGCAGAAGATTGAAATGTTTTCTATTTATGTATAACGCAGCAGCTGATCCAGGGCCTCCATTCAAATACTTGTAGTTGCACCAGACGGCAAAGTCACAATCCAACGCCTTTAAGTCTATTTCCAATATTCCAATCGCATGGCATAAGTCCCAGCCCACTAATATGCCACGATCCTTAGCCGCTTTAGTCACCTTCTCCATGTCAAGCACTTGCGCTGTTCTATAGTAAACAGTGGGCAGAAAAACTATCGCAACATCAGGTGTCATGGCGTCTATAACATCGTCTTCATTTATAAATTTACCATCGATACTTTTAACAACTTTAACTGCGTCTCTCGGGTCGTACCCTTTCAATCTAACTTGGCTATCTATCGCGTAACGATCAGTTGGAAAGTTTATATCGTCAACCAATATCTTGTACTTTGCATCTGTAGGTTTATAAAATGTACTGATGACCTGATGTATGTTCGTTGTTGTAGTATCCATAACTGCAATTTCGTCTTCCTCTGAACCAACTATAGGAGCTAAAAGACGCGCCAAGTGAGAAGAGTATAAATAATATTTACTATCGTCAATATTCCATATCGCAACGCCTTCTTCTTTCCATTTGTCCAATGCTCTCAAGAGTCCAGCTTCAGCATCCTTCGATGCTAAACCTAATGAGTTACCGCACATATATACTACATGTTTTCTTATATAAAACCTTTGTCTGAAATGTCCCAGCGGATCGTTATTGTCCAATAACTTCGAAAAGTCGACGCCATCTTGAAATTTCACTTCCATCTTGTCTTAACAAGTTGAAATAGCAATCGCAATTTAGGTATACCTTTATAAATAGGTACAGGTAGGTCAATAATAACTTAGTTTCTTATCAGATAATATGGCGAATAATCGTAATCGAGATGTTTATTAATTTAATTAACTTGTTTGTTCCTTATTTGTTTAGCAATTAGTACAACCACAAATTCTATTTTGATGAAATATTAAAAATCTTTGAAACTAAGTAGGTAGTAAGTAGGTTTATAAAGTTGATACCTTGCCTCCTATAAGTATTATTATTATTGAAAGACGGGCTTTTACCGGGCATAAAAACCTGTGACACTGCGACCTTTCCATGATCTTTTATGCTCGCCCTTTTCCCCTAAAGTTCGCTGCTAATTCCTATCAATAATAGAAATTTTAAGATGTTCTTTGTAGCGATAGCGTTTTATCTCCTTAGAATATAGTGTGTTTTCCAAAAGAAAAAATATCTCGCTTATTTATGAGTGAGGCACAGTCATAAATTAAATGCTTCTCCTGTAAGTATGTTTCAAATCACCTTTTAAAATAACTTCGGTTATCGTCGCACTTTCGACAGCGTAAAGGCGTTTATCCTTGTATAGTAAGCAAAGCAATTTCAAAGAAGTTTTCTTACTTGGATTATGAAATGATTTTCCTACAAAGGTTTTTCTTAGACCCTACAATATGGGATTCTTTAAGAAAAACCGTTTAAGATTTCTTTAGAATCTGCAACGCGTATGTGTCAACCCTCGTTTTATCTGCATCTATAAGTTAAATAATCACAAAAAAATATATTATTTTTTATTCATTGTAATAGTAAATATCCTACACCAGAAAACACTATGGTCACACGACATTCTGATACAAAACATGTTACTAAATATAAATCTAGCAACAGCAGCTGTAAAACAATAAAAGTGATAGGGTGATTTAATTCGTTCTCGAAATGTCTTCGTTCTTTAGTTATTCGATCTAATATTTTTTTTATAGTTAGAGATGCATTTGTTCAGGGATCCCGTCTTCGCTTTTTGATACGGGTGGTAAGATGCCTGCTCTATTGGACACATATAGTATATATATTTGAAGATAGAGTCCAATTTAGGGGGCATAAAGTAAGATCAACGGCCTAAGACTGCTACTAAGAGTATAGAGTGGTTAGCCCTCGATTGGGCACCCCCAATCATCTCCCAATCGCCCATTCGACAGTCGACCGGTCATTGGCCGTCAAGTGCTCGGCATGGGTATCTATAATAGGTTAAAGTTGCAATAAAGTTATGCAATGTGTTGAAGAAGCTAAAAGTATAATATGTGTACAGCGCTTGCAGACTGTAATAAAGAGAGAAAATAGTCGACAATCGGGCACACGATCGCCTCAAGCGGTAGAAGATAGGGGACTAGTGGGCTGCTAGCAATATCCCAGATATCGTAGTAACGTTTGTGTCTAATAAGACGTCATTCTTTTGGTCATTTTAATTTTGCAACCATAAAATGTCTAAATAATAAAGTTTTGGAGTTGCTAATCTCATTTGATAAACCTTGAATAGAAATCCTATTAAGTTTTAATGCTTAATAGGTGATGATGGAATGGTAACTCCGCTTGCGCTAACGATATGCACTGACGGGGCACCAGTGAAGGATGTTAAGTGATCATGAAAAGGCAAGTTAGTTAGCTAATCGTGATTTATTTATTTATTTATTATTACAAAGTCACAGCTCTTAAAACTATAATATTTTATTGTTATTTTTAATACTAATTAAATTGCGTGCGTGCGTGCGTACGTGCGTCCGTGCGTGTGTGTGTGTGTAAAATCACGAAGTATTTAACATGGTTTTCAGGGAAAACCGCGAGGACGTCCACCTGACTGGGATATTGCTAAGAATGGGGGTGATAATCCCCATTTCTGACAATCACTTTCCCCTCCGCAGTCCTATCATATGACCTACCCCACAGTGATCCTACATTTACACCATCCAATGATTTGCATACCTGCAAATTATTATTATAAAATTAGTACCATTATCATATCAGCCATCATCTGACCACTGCTGAACATAGGCATCCCCCTTAGACTGTCATAAGGAACAGTTCTGAGCTACCTGACTTCCTGCAACATTTTTGAGGTGGTCATTCCATCTAGTGGAGAGTCGTCCTACACTGTGTTTGCCCGTACAGGTTCACCACTCAAGAACCCTTCTTCCCCATCGGTTGTCAATTCTTCCAGCCATGTGACCAGCCCATTGCCACTTCAGCTTGCTTTACTCTTTAAGGATATTTCGGGAAAATATAAATAAATAAATAAATGAATCCTTAATTTATTTTATAATTTAAATCTTATTGTTAGGTATTATTTATTTTATTAATTTTAAAATTATAATGTAAATATTGACTTGCCATTGTGCGACGAAAACTGTTACATTGGTTAATAAAGAAATATGAATATGAATATAAATAATTCTGTATCGTAAACAAAGTGCAGTATCCATTTTTCTCCATAAAGAAATCGAAACAATACCTAATACATACAAAAGTTGGGGGTAAAGGGATTGTTAGTAATGAGGTCTAATAGTCCCATTGCTGGCAATATACCCTCTCACGTCGACCTCCACGTGGATCCCCTGGAAACTATCATGGTTAATTCTTGTCGAATTCATCATGGTGGGCCACATGAACAGCATTCATTCTCACCTATCATCTTTTACTAGTGCCTCGTCGGAGTATACCGGTAGCGCGGGCGGGGTTACCATTCTATCTACACCCATTAAAAAAAATACATGCAAAAGATGACGAAACAGTGTATTTCCGTCATCACCCCCTGTAACCTCAATTACTATATCTCCATCATCTTTATTTACAACTATTATCAGCATTAATCCCTATGCATAATATGCTACTTTATTGCTCTTGAAATAACTATGAAGATATGTTATATTTTATTGCATTCGAAGTCATATTTGCACATTGTAAAATTACATTAAACATAGTACATTTATAGCGCACATACTAGTCTAAGATCCCGCTGCTGAATACTGCAGGTATATTTTTTTTTAATGAAACTTACTTGTTTTTATAACAGAGGGCAAACGAGAATGCTGTTCACCTAATAGTGAATACCGCGCCTATTATCATCCGCAATACCAGAGGCATTACAGACCTTTTAAAAAGGAAGATGCTTCTTTCTTGTCGGTTACGATGTCATATCGGTTCGGATATACTGCTGTTGGAAGTTGATTCCATAGCATGGTTGTGCGTGAAAGAAAACGCACCTGCCTTGAAAAACGGAAACTGGTTTCATCTATGCAAAGCAACGTGCATTATTTTTCATTATTTGTCCACTGTTATAGGACACTTGTCCACTGAGCATAGGACTTCCTCATAGTGGGGAGGGAAGGGTTGCCAGTGGTTGCCATGCTTGGCAAGCAGGTTGGCAACCGCAGTTAGACGTTGGTGATGTTTTAAGATAGACGCTGTTGCCCATCCCTTGACTATTAGGTTCCCTCTTACGGCACCCACGGGAAGGGAAGGAATGGTGCATTCTACGTATATGCGCGGACCACACAGCATACGTGCTATTTCACCGCGAATATTATTAAGACATCTTCATGAGTACTATTTACTAGAGGGAGACTTTTTACAGTCGTTCGCTTGCGTACCTCTGTCCCATTCGTGTTTCTATCGTGAAGCAGTTGTGTTTGCATGGCTGTGTTTCGGTTTGAAGGGTGGGATATGGCGTGAATTTACAAGTTACAGAGGAATAACACCTGAATCCTCAGAAATGGCAACGTATGGGGGGTATCATGGACGAAACAATATACTCTGTTAAGTCCATGGTATTGCTCATGTCTATAGGCGACGGTTACCAATTTCCATCGGGTGGGCCATGAGCTTGTTTGTCATTCTAAGTTGCATAAAAAATAACCTTACCTCTATATTGCAGCTGTGTCAGGCTAGGTGATGGTAACTATTTTCCATCGGATAGATGGTGGGCTTGTACGCCAATGTATTTATCCTTCAAGTCAAAGAACCTCCTCTTTAAACTTAGTCGAAAAACATTAACAAATCTTAATAATGACGTCTTTCAACGTTAGGTATTACATTAGTAATCATTCTGTAGTTTTGACATTATTTCTGCATTTTAAAGTGTCAAGAATATTTTGTAATGTTTAAACTGAAACCTTCATTCTATTTAAAATATTTAACGAGAAATATAACGCTGAGCCAACACGAGCGAAATGTATGCTGGCCAAGACCAGACTATGGGCCTATGGAAGTTCAGAGATCTGTACTCTTAAACGGGATTAGAGTGGCGGCAGTGAAACCTCTGGGCTCTCAAATTGCTGCTTGCACTATTATGTACCAGGTATGTTCTAGATCTAGACTTCTGATTTCAATATAGTTTGTAAATGCCCTTGTTATAGGAATTAGTAAAACCTGTAATGCTTGACAAGCTGTTCTGTAAATAAATAAATAATTTAAAATGGGTAACCTTGCGTAACATATTTTTTTAACTTGTGAAAAATATTTAAAAGACCGTCTCAACTGCCGGAGAGAGGACAGAAGGGGTGTGTGGGACTCTAACCTACTAAAAACGACATACCTAGAGGCACATTATCAGATCTCCAGGATACTACTGGATATCTAATGCGACACCCCGCACTGGGGGAAAGATATTGTTAGTAATGGGGTCAAATAGTCTCATTACTAGCAATATACCCTATCAGGTCGACCTCCCCTGAAAATCATCATGTTTAATTCTTGTTGAATTCGTCAGGATGGCCTAACTGACCTGTTTTCATCCTCACCTATCACCCCTCGCTGGTGCCCCGCTAGTGTATACCGAAAACGCAGGCGGGGCTACCATACCATTATCTTTCATTTAAAAAAAAAACGGCCCGCACTGTAGATGGTGTATGGCCGGCATCTCAAACCCTGCATAATCTCTACATCACGAGAAAGCTGCGTGGACTCAAATCGAATTGTTGAAAAGTAAATTTTTTAACCTCTTAATTTATATGCTTGCAGTGATCAATATTAAGAGTGTTTCTGCTTCTTCTCCTATACTATCTGTGACTCATTTGCAAGTTTTTATACTTTAACACATGTAGACTAGTATATAAAATGTGTCTCTGTCTTGCATTTCACCTTTATATAGTTTCCTATTTCTATCACCAAAGTAGCTTGCATCCTATGTTTTTTTTTTATACAACTTAGAATGGCAAACAAGCTGACGGCCCACCTGATGGAAAGTGGTAACCGTCGCCTATAGACATGAGCCGTACCATGGACATAACAGAGTATACTGTTTCGCCGATGATACCCCCATGCTTTGCTATTCCTAAGGACTCAGGTGTTATTCCTCTGTACCCTGTAAATTCACGCCATATCCTATCTTTCAAACCGAAACACAGCCATGCATACACAACTGCTTCACGGTTGAAACACGAATGGGACAGAGGTACCCAAGCAATCGACTTTTGTACAAAGTTTCCTTTTCAAATACGGCGAAATTATTTACTAATGATGCCAATGGCATGATAAGCAATGCACGAGTCATGACTTTAGTGCACTGATCGTAACTTCACTCTAATTAACATCTTCGTAATATTAAACTTTCCAGGCTGGTTCTCGTTATGAGTCAGACGACCATATCGGAGCAGGCCATTTCATCCGAGTAGGAGCCTCATCCTCAGGTTGTGGTTACACATCCTTCTCCAAAATGCGATATCTGCAGCAAAATGGCGCCACCATCACATGTTCCACAGACAGACAGAAGATCTCGTTCACTCTGCAATGCCCTGTCACCTGTTACCCGGAACTGAAGCATTATTTGTTGGATACAGCCGCACGGTAAGTAAAAAGGAAGTTTGGAACAATCGGGATTGTAAAGTTTTTGATATGAGAGACACAAAAGTCGATTTTCTCTATGAGTGAGACCTACAAAATAGAAATTTGTGACTGAAAAACTTTAATTCTATTGACTCTTCATGCTGTCCTTGGTGATACGGGGTAAGTTGTTTACCCAATATTACATTATTTTCGAGCTGTACCTGCTGTTGGCCGCAGAAGACCTTGACAGTTTTATTGGAAGTGTGCAGCGGCGAGGCGAGGCGATGACACTCCAAGCCCGCAAGAGGGAGCGAGAGTATGTTATAATAAGTAGACTGAATATGGTATTCTAAAATATAGCTTTTTCTATATACGTATTCCTATTATTCTTTTTAAGTAAGATTATGGAAATACAATAGACTAGAACTAAATTAATCAAAATTTTTCCTTTCTCTAAGATGTTGCTACAATAAATGGGAACTAGATGACCGCAAGCAACTAATAAGAGAAGATCTAATGCACATACATCCAGAACAGCGCGTCATTGACTTAGTGCAGCGAGCTTGCTTCACCGGCCCCTTGTCCAACTCCGTCTTCTGCGAAGAAGAGAGGATACACGACATGTCAGAAAATAGCGTGAACTGCTTCGCAAGGACGCATTTCAGGAGTGATGCGTGCAGCATCGCCAGTATTGGCGTGCCTTTCGAGGAGACTCTAAAATTGGCTGAGAAAATTGAATTTAAACGGGTAATTTTAAACTGCTTTCTTACACATTTTTTATATCCCCTAAAGAATTATCTATGCAAGAATGATAAGATAGTTGAATATAACTATTTTTCAGATTACCTACGATAATTATATCTCTGTAACAAACAAGACAGCCCCATTGCTAACAATATACCTACCCTATCAGGTCGACCTCCACGTGGTTCCTCCTGGAAACCGTGGCTAATTCTTGTTGGATTCGTCACGATAAGCACATCACTCACTGGTGTATACTGATAGCGCAGGCGAGGTTACCATTCCATTATGACACATTAAAAAAACCAAGACAAAACAAAGCAAAAGAAGCAAGATCAGTGGGAGCACAATAGATCACAAAGATCGTAGTGTTACAGGTTTTTCCGCCTGATAAAGTCCGTTTTTCAATAAAGGGGTCAGTGCCTCTCTTTTTTAACGTCGGAAAATCCATCATGGATATCCATTCATTCCAGAGGCACGGAGGGAATATTGTCAAAGTTTGAAGAAACACACCAGCACCTACAGCGCTACCCTCTTCGGGCTTTCAATAGTCCCATGAGAGAGGGAGGGAATTGTTGGTTACGGAGACCAGCAACCTTATTGCTAGCAACATATCCTATCAAGTCAATCTCCACAGTTCTCCTAGAAGCCATTAGTAGCTGAAATTATGAATCTGAAATTATCAATACTGTGTTCCAGGAAAAGCCACCAACCCGGTGGGAGCATTTGTCATGCGCTCGCGGTGGCTTTGAACTATACGACCTCGGACCTGGTAGCGATACGTGGATTGCCGTTGCTGTACCCGGCTGCGGCACGTGTGATATCTCGTAAGTTCAGATGATACAAAAAAATAAATCGTGCGTAGCATTGCAGATTAATGCATAATGTTATTTGTTTGAAGAGTTCACATATTTTTTGTCCATTGTTCTCGACTATAACTGATTTGTGAATAGCGTGATAGTATTAGAATCCTATTAATTTTACTAGCTGAAGTCGCAAAGGGCTGGTCATATAGTATGAAGAACTGATAACCGATGAGGAAGAAAGGTGATGGTGCTGAGGACTAAAGATGTTACGGCCCCGAATCCTGCATTTTCTTTGCTATATCACATACTTCTTGTGTGGCGACCCCGCACAGGGAATCGCAGTTTAGGACGATCCGCTGCTAGATGGAGTACCAACTTCAAACGCATTGCAGGGAGTCAGTGGATGCAGCTGGCTTGGAACCGTTCCTTATGGCAGTTTGTAGGAGAACCCTATGTTCAGCAGTGGACAGATAACGGCTGATATGATGGTGATGAATTCAACTATTATAAACTCGAGAGTATAAAAAAGATAACCTGTTAGGACGACCATCACTCTCGTCTTTGAAGACTGTTGAAAATTAGGGAACAAGCGTAGTGTGAAGCGATCTTCTGCAAGATGCAGTTACGATTTCAGAAGTAAGTATTGCATAATCTTTGGATTACAAGGGGTACAAGATTGTAGTTTTTGGCGAAATATTATTCCGAGTGAACGATATATAGCTCATGTAGGTATTTTTTTTATGGGTGGTAACCAGTGAAGGGTGATAGATGAGAATGAAAACAGGCCAGTTAGCCCATCATGATGAATTCATCAGGAATTAACTAAAGTATATTGCTAGCAATGGGATTCTCAGTCTCCATTACTAACAATCCCTTTCCCCCAGCTCATGTTGGTTATGGATTATGGTATTCCACAGTGATCTGTTAAAGCATGCGATAGTGGCTGCGGCGTGTGGCACCGGCAACATGCAAGTGGGACAGCACAGCCTCGACCGCACGCCGCAGCCGCCGCTCGGCAAGATGGCCGGCGACGATGTGTACACAGAGTACAAGGCTTTCAATATTTCTTACCGGGAGACTGGGCTATTTGGTAATATTCTATTCTTTGTTAGATAAACTATGTAGCTACTTACCAGCGCATACTATCTGGAAGATACCGACCGTAAGTAAAGGTTTCTAAGTACACGTTTGTACAATTGAAAGAGAATGTCCAATGAAAAGAGTTCTGTGCCCAACACTGGGCACACAACTCGAATATAAAATGATAGAAAAATGTTTTTACTCAGTTAATGAATATTTTGATCATTTTAAAGCTTAAATATTTGACTCAATTAATTGATTGTAATTTGTAACCTATATAATTTATTATTAATACGTAAATTTGTTGACATTTATATAATATGACGATATTAGTAAAATAGTAGTAGCATAGCATAGTAGCACAATTAAATAAATTTTATATGCCAAATTCTGGTGGAAAGTGTGAACAATATTTAAATATTATGTACCATCCTTTATACCACTTTTCAAACAAAATAGAGCTATTATATTTGTATTAAAATAGATATATAAACCTACCATTATTTACTAGCTATACCATAATGCTACAAAACCTTATAGTCGTTTACCAGAGGGAGACTTTGTACAAAAGTCGATTGCTTGGGTACCTCTGTCCCATTCGTGTTTCAAGCTATCTGTATTTGTACCTTAGTATTGTTATTATTAAGGACTAAGTTGATATTATTTCTTACATTGTAATTTTTTCTGCCCTGCTGCTGTTTCATATCCTATTCAAAACAGCTACGCAAGCATATTTGCTTGATAATAGAAACGTGAAAATAGTCACCTGACAACATTCGAGTTTCTTATTGTATGTATAATCAGTCGCCTACTTCTTATATTACTTTTGTTTTCAGGAATAGTAGCGAAGACTCGTGCCTCGACAGCGTTCAATGTGGCGCTTGCTGCCGCTGAATTTCTAGCAAATGTCGGTGATTTGGACTCCAGTCAGATACAGGTCGGGAAGCGGAGACTCGGTTAGTTCATAATCTATGCACTTATTATAAGCCACGGAACATAATTAGAAAGAAAGAGAAACAAAAAACAAAGAAGGAAAATATTTGGCGCATAATAACAATTATGAATGAATGAATCTTTTATTTGAATGAATGAATGAGTATACTTTATTTGCATTATACAATATTGGGAAAAAAGAAGACAATTAATAAATATAACGATATAATTGTATAATTACAGCAAGGCGCTCTTATTGCTAAGAGCAATCTATCTTATTTATTTATCTATTTATCCAAAGAATAAAATACATTGTATAGGATAGATACCACATAAGTTGCCTGGAAGAGATCGCTCTTAGCGATAAGGTCGCCCATTGTTTTCTCATTGTGATTATTTCTTGTAATTGTTTATATTTATAATAAGTTTACTACTGTAATCTTTTGGAGGAAACAATAAAGAGTATCTATCTATCTACACTAGCTGATGCCCGCGACTTTGTCTGCGTGGTATTTGTTATTCCTGTTTAGTACGTATTGATGTATGTGCCTATCTCTTCATTATATCTGAGAATACTGGCCAAAATTAACATGTGACATGTCGTTTTCACTCTTTGCCTTAGGTCAATTTGACTTTACTTAAGTAGGTTGTGTACTAAGCTACATAAGTTACCATAGTTTTTTTTAACTATCCCACGGAAACTCTTTAATATTCCGTGATTAAAAATCTAAAACGTTGACTGGGGATGTAAGGTACCAGCATGTAATGTTTCATTTAAATCGGTCCGACAGTTTCTGAGATTAGACCGTACAAACGGACCAGAGAGAGAGAGAGAGAGAAATAAATTTGAAAAATCTGGATGTGTTCTATTTAGGTATTTATATTAGTTCGTCGAATAAAAACTAGTCTATCTCGTGAAATATTGGGGTCTTCTTGTAGACGACATTTCCCTGAATTTATCTTTAATTAAATTATAATTTAATTACAATTTGATTTTGATATCACAGCAAAAGTGTTATTTGAAATACCAATTTGAACTAAGTTTCTAATATATTTAATTAAGAATTATTGTACATTTAGCTTATCATGGCCTATTAATATGGCCTTATAGGCCATATTAATAGGATTTTCGCGAAACTGGCATTTTAAAATATTAATTTAGAATACAGGTTTAGAGTAATATCGCCTCGGAATAGATCCCATTGCTAATTCCCATTCCTCGACCAGTAAGAACTTTGTCACCTCTTAGGACACCCAGGGAAAAGGAAGGAGATTTGTAGAATCAAGGTGATCAAATTTTTTCTTATGGGGCTCAAATTCAATTTCTCTCAAATTCCAGAACTAAGCTTGGCCATGAACGAGGACAGCTGTGTGGGCGTGACCGAGGGCATGGCGCTGCAGCTCGCCAACAACATACAGATGGACAGCGCCAAGAGCGCGCTGTGCATGATCGAACTGCTCTGTCCCGAGGAGATCTCCTGTACCGCCAAGGCTTTGTCTTCCAAACGTAATACGTTACTTTTACTCACATTTCCATGATATGTGGAATGGCAAATAAGCTAATGACGGACCATTACGAGGCAAAAGATTGTTAATAAGGAACACTAACGCCACTGTTGCTGTTAATATACCTTGTCAGGTCGACCTCCACGCAGACTGAATTTACTGGGTATAGAGGAATAACACCCGAGTCCTCAGGAATGGCAACGCATGGGGGTATCATGGGCGAAATAGTATACTCTGTTATGTCCATGGTACTGCTCATGTTTATAGGCGACGGTTACCACTTTCCATCAGGGGGGCCGTCAGCATGTTTGCCATTCTAAGTTGTATAAAAAAACTGGGCAGTAGCGTCCTTCTTTAAACTTCAGCAAAGCCTGATTACGGTTGCTAATCCGTCTTCCAAGCATGGCAATTAATGGTGAAAATCCCCATAGAAGGAAGCCTATGTTCAGCAGTGGACAGTAAACGGCTGATATGAGGATCATGCTACAATTTCTATAATGACTACCTGCCTCTTCTTCTTTTTCTTTACCCTCAGGCGGGTGCATGGCTGTGGCCGTCGTGGGCGACATCGGCGCAGTGCCACACGACAGAGAACTAATATGCCAGTAGCTTTTAATTTAATGTGCAATTGGTATTGCTCTTCTCGACAATAAATCTTTGATTTTTAATAAAATATAATTGAAATCTTTATTGTACATATTAAAATATTTAATATACCTACAATGGCGGTGTTTAAAAAAGTCACATCCCTATAAATTTTATAATACCCTCCAAATGCATTATATTCTACCGATTCCCCTGACTTAAGACGAACAGAGAAATGGTCGGTCCCAATCTAACGTCCACCGCGTAACACTGTGCAACGGGTTGCTGTTTTTGTGCCTACCTTAATCAAGAACAGTAAGTTCTTGATTAAGGAAGAACTTGGAGAATGTGTGGAGAACTCGTGAACCCCCTGGACATTCCCTATTGATCGCTCCAAAGTATCGCGAGTGATTGTTTACTTAATAGTGTGGTTTTACAAGTAGACCAAAATAGATCAGCGCCTTTGTGACATTCACGTGGCGTGGCTTCCTGAAACCTGTGCATCCTGAGCGTGTACCTCTTACGCTAAATCTGCATTTTGCAGTCAAGGTAAGTCTGTACCATTTTGACATACAAACTTCTTTAATGAGACCTAGAAACCGGGCCCAGCCTAGGTCTCAAATTACTTCGTACGTTTCCAACTGTGCTAATATTGTTACAATTTAAATCAGCAATTTTCCTTAACAGGCGGACTTATTCCATAATTTCTTACGGTTTACCTTTGAGAAGTTGAATGAAAACTATAGAATAGTCGAGGGTAAAAACCGTACAGCTGAAGATAAAACTTAATCATATCTAGTTGAAATTAAACATATTGTTTCATATTACAATAATAAGTATATACATACCTACCTGCATATATAAATGCGCACGCATACGAGGATGCGCCTCTGCACGACCGCGTGTACGTGCATATGAATATATATTTACACATATATGTATTTGTTTGTGTGTGTGTAGTCTCACAAACACACGCATAAATACATATATTTTCAGTTCGCCGAACGAAACAGGAGTTTCAGAATAAAATTTTGTAATACCTGCTTTAACGGATGAAAATTATTTTTCTAAAACATGTTTGGAAATGTGAGCATTATTTTGACAATCTTCTTCGAGATAAATCAAAATTGCCGTATTGGCCAGATATATGCGGGCAGCGGCCGGCAAAAGTTGTATGAAAATCCATATCGTCGTGTTTTGCGGCCAGATAAATTACTATGTAAACTCATATCTGTCTGTGTGTAATTTAAAAATGGAATGGCCTTTTATTTCGAAACATGGCTACCAAGAAGGTAACTAATAAAAGGTTTTATTTAAATTTCGAACTGGCTTGCAAATAGAAAGCTGTTTATTGAAAAAAAAAAAAAAACAAAGGAACATTATGGCGTGTGAAAAATTATTATTGGTTGTTATTCGTCAATGAACTTAAAAAGTAAAATTGTGTTTTTGATTTCCGCGCATTGTTTGAGAAAAGTACTATACAAGCCTTGGCCACAACTAGGCATTAATGTATGTGTGCCTCGGCTACGCCTCGGCGCATGTTTGCACGTTCGTCCATCAATGCCTCAGTTGCTGGCCGTTGCAGTAATGTACTATTGTATCCGTTGCAATGTGACACTTTAAGACACTGTAGATTCATAAAAAAATGACTATTCAAAAACGCTTATAAGTTTACTTAAATAAAAAATATTTTTACTTTATTTATTGGTAACCCGGGAAGAAATTGCGGGCAGTTATTAAAAAAAACACAATCTATGTGATGATATAGTTTATTGGATGGATTCTATTTCTGTACATACGTATTAGATAGATGACATGGATAAAAGTGTTTTATCAACTATGTGTAAGGAATTCCGAATTAATCCACTATGAAACTCGAATATAATAGTGGTTTTTTACCAATCATGTAAGTATATAATTTTTAAACAAATAAAAATAGAGAAATTCTTTTATTTTAGTTTATTTATTCTTTTTTTTTTTTAATTTAGACTTTAATTGAGCAGATAACGATTTTTATTTTTATACTATTGTTTAGTTTTTGTTTCTTTTGTGTGCTACTGTGTAAATCCCATGCTTCTTCATTTCTTTCTTTCTTTTTTTAAACCATTAATCTTAAATACTTTTAACATAATAACAAAAATTTCCATTCAGTCTTGTTTAGATATCAAATTGTTCACTTAGACACTGTTTCATTGAAAATTAAATGTATGTATTTATGTCTCATTAGTACTGTATACTTTAGCATGATAATCATTTTGCCTGTACTTATTTTTTATCCTTATGTCATTGTTTAAATTTATAAGGAGAAAATACTTTTTTTACCGCTAGATGGCATTATAAAGTATAAAAGTTCATTGAAGGGCCTCAAAAGTGATGAATATAAAGTAATAAAAAAAAAAATCAAAGTTCCCGCGTTTTTATTAGGAAATTATGATTAAAAAATAATATTTATTACAGTTTCAAATGCTTCTATTCAATGATTGAAGATTAAATTAATCAAAATTCAAAATTTTTATTTGAATATAAATATTTTTCGATATATCTTTTTTTTATGAATGAACCTTACAATTTTTTATTATAATAAAATATTTTTTTAATTTTAAGATGAGTATCAAATATAAAGCCAGTAATTGTGCTTGTTTTTAATTCTTGACTATTCATCGAAAAAATCAACTTCATTCTTAATTTCTGGAAGCAGTATAAATTCTTTTTTAACTTCTGGTATTTCAATCTGACTCTTAATCTCTGGTATTTCTACTTCTTTCTTAATTTCTGGCACCTCTGCCTCCTTCTTGATTTCCGGAATTATAATTACCTCATTCTTGACTACAGGAACCTCTATTCTCTTCTTCCTTTCCCTGTATTTCTTGGAGTTTATTCTCCACAATTCCCTGAGCTTTGTCCGCTGATTTTCTGGCATCTCAGCTATATTCTTCTTCTTTTCTGCTTTTCTTTTATGATAATATTGCAGATCTTTTTTCCTCTTCAACTCTTTTTGTTCGGGCGTCATTTTTTCTAGAAACCTGCGTTTTCTGGCTTTCGCTTTCTCTTGGGCTCTCGTAAGGGCAACTTGTTTATCAGTTACATTCGGTTTTGAGTTATCGATTAACAATTGCTGTGTCTGAAAAATACAACAAAAAAAATATAATAAAAAAATTTTGCTTTGCACTAAAAGACAGCTATATGGTCAATCAATTTTTTATGATAGAATTAGTGTTGGACTACATACATACATATCTGTCATGCCTGTCTCCCATTAGGGTAGGCAGAAACAATGGAACGTCAAATGCTTCGATTCGAACAAACCTCTTTCGCTTCTTCCACATTCATCAATCTTTTCATACACGCTCGCTGGTTACGGGTACTTTTAATTTAGCCCTTGTTGGACTAATTGGGAGTAAAGTCTATCAATTGCAAAAAAAATACTAAAATCGGTTTAGAATAGGCAATATAATCATATTATTGTATCAAACTATAACTTCTTGTTTCCTCATCACATCAGGATGTTACTATCATCACCATTCCTCTCTATTCCATTCTAAAAGTAATAGGCGATAAATATAACACGTCTATAATTGAGCATATCATTCAGATGCTGTTCTAGTCGGTTGGCTCACATCTGAGTGAACTGCTTTAATTAATTTGCTTTTCTTTTTTACTAACATAGTTTGTAAGAAAACTGTTACTAACAAAATGGACCAAATTGTAGTCTGAGTAATAAAGTATATTATTATATTATTTTTTAAATTTCTAGAAAATTCACATCTTCCCTCTTAAGGAGAAGAGATGACAAACTAACCCCCGGCAGAAGCACAGTCGGCCGGGGTTCAGGGCCTCAGGGAGAGAAACCGGCGTACAATGCGGACAGAATCTAAGAGCACCGCTTTCTGCATCTTTTCCAAGAGTGAGCCGCCTCGGAATCCCAACCGTCTGAGATGTTGTCTAGACTGGTTGGGATAAGACCGTTTACCGACATAACGATTGGAATGATTTCGATGAATGTCACCCCCTACATTTCGTGACCGAAATGTAGGGGGTGACATAGTCATCATCATAGGGGTAGGGTCACCTCGTGAGCCAGCTCGAGATATTTTCTCTTCTTCTCGGTTTCGGCTTTCACGAGGTTCTCGTCATGCGGTATAGTGACATCCACCAAAAACACCCTCGAGAGTGCCCGATCCATCACCACGATATCAGATTTTTATTATTATTATGTAGTGCAGTCTTCAGCTATCTGTATAGACTTTTGGATATACTTCGTTCAGCAAGCATTAGTCCATAATGTTATATCAGCTCTGTCCACTGCTGAATATAGCCTCCCACATAGGGGGGTTTTGTCAGTAGCTGCCACGCTTGACGGGCGCGATGGGAACCACAGTTTGGCTTTTGGCAATGTTTTAGAGGGATGCTGCTGCTCATCCCTCCATCCCTCGCCCTCCCTTAGTCGTCTCTTACGACACCCACGAGAAAGGAAGGGGTGGCCTATTCTATGCCGGGAGCACACGGCAATTATATTGGTGTTCAGTCCATCACTTTGGTGTTCATTATATAATATAGCCCAAAAGAAATATAGACAAATTGGTAATCTTCTACTTTTGAAAGTTGGTTAAAAATTTCTGAGCGGGTGGTGTAACTTACAGATCTATTTGTGATTGTGACGTCATTCAACATAACGTCGCCCCCACACTGCTCCCGCGTCAAATTGCTCTCGGTCACCGTCCCCACATTGCCATAATTTTTCTCTTTATGCTTTCTCGGGGGTCGTTTCCGTTTGTCCTTTTTCTAAAAAGAAACGGCGGTTTTTTTAAATGGGTGGGAATGGAATGATTACAATAAATAAAAAAAAAATACCATGCTTGCGCTACCAATGTATGTTGCCGGGACTCCTGTGAGTGATGATAGATAAAAATGAAAAGCTTGTCAGTTAGTCCATAGTGACAAATTCCACAAGATTTAACTATGATGTTTTCTAGCGGGAACCGCTTGGAGGTAGACCCTATCAGATGATGGGGTACATAGATATAACAATGGGGCTATCAGATTATTAACAACAATCCTTTTCCTCCCGTATGATCTCGTGCCCTGCGAGTCACGCAACAAATGACGGTATTTTTAAATGAATCAAAAATAAATTTCAAAGATTTGATATCAGAATCTCTGGACCGTAATTGAGCGTTTTTTTTTAAAGTATATTTTATAATGGAACGGTAACCCCGCCTGCGCTATTCATATACGCTGGCGAGGCAACAGTTTAAATGACAAGTGAGGATGAAAAGGCAGGTCAGTTAGCCCATCGTGACAGTAGAATTAACCACTCAACAGCATAACTGAGTAACAAACATCTAATCATCTTTGCAAATCATGGGCTATCATGGGGGAAAGAGTCCATGGTACTGTTCACTACAGGCGACGGTTATCACTTTCCATCAGGTGAGCCATCTGCTTGTTCGCTATTTTAATTGAATAATAAAAAATAAATTTATAATGTTAGTATGAATCTTTTACTCACATTTACTACTTCCGGAATCGAGTCATCATTACAATGACTTCTGAGTGCATCATTATGATCATCAACAAAGCTGTCCACTTCATTCTTAATGTTTTCTTCCACAATCACATCGGAAATAATGTATTCAGGTTCAACTTTGACTGTGGTTAAATGTTCCCTATGTGATTCTTCTGAAGTTATCTTTATATATGTCAGTTGTGATTGCAGCTTTAACATTTTTCTGTCAATACTTCTAATTTCTTGGTCAGTTATCTAGAAAAATATATTATTACTGTATTATTAATTCTATCTTATACAGTTTTTTAATTAATAACACTAACAATTAATTATACATAGTTTCTTAAAGTACCACATTGGGGCAGTGCAGTGTACCCAAGACACTGGCAGCATTACCGCTTTGGATCGCCAAGCTTATTTTTTAAGGCTTCAGTACGCCTGAGTAAATTTTCCAGCACAAATAAGTGTTCGAAATTTTAATTATTGATTAAATTAATATTAATATTTATTGACACATATTTTGATAAATAGGGTAAAATTAAAAATCGTTAGTATTAGGGAGACTTTGTACAAAAGTCGATTGCTTGGGTACCTGTCCTATTCGTGTTTCTATCGTGAAGCAGTTGTGTTTGCGTGGCTGTGTTTCGGCTTTAATTAATCATGATAGTTTCCAGGGAGAACTGCAAGGAGGTCGACCTGGTTGGGTATATTGCTAGCCACGGGATTCTCAGTCTCCATTACTAATAATCCCTTTCCCGTGTTTCAGTTTGAAGGGTGGGATATGGCGGACAGGGTACATAGGCCTAACGCTTTCGTTCTCAGGTAGGGCAACACATGGGGGGTATCATGGGTGAAGCAGTATACTCTGTTATGTCCATGGTACTGCTCATGTGTATAGGCGACGGTGGCCACTTTCCATCAGGTGGGCCGTCAGCTTGTTTGCCATTCTAATTTGTATAAAAAAAATTAGGCTTTTAATAGTTCTATTTCAATTGGTCAAAAACACAAGTTAATTTTGATCCACCAATGTTATATTGCATGTCCAGCTACAAAGTTTATTAGAGAGGGTGAATATTTTATTTGTTAATCTATTTTATTATATTATTTACTGTTATCACGATATAATAAATTTAATTGGCATTCCAAACTGTAAGACAATTTATAATAAAACAATATTGCATAGACTTGGATGAGATTATTATGAAAAAAAAAAAAATTACTTTTCAATAACTCGATGCCGAGGTTTTCCCAAGAGACTATGAGGGTCTTCAAAAGGGGGTAAAGAGGTTTCTTCAGAGTCGGCAACGTGCGCATAATACCTCTGGTATTGCAGGCGTTCATAGGCTACGGTAACCGCTTACCATCAGGTGGGCCGTATGCTTGTTTGCCACTTCAGTGGTATAAAAAAAAAACTGTTATTAATTAAAAATGTTTTTAAAGATAGAAACGAGGTTATACAGGAATATACAAATACTTACTTTATTCTTGCTTTTCAACAATGTATAGAGAATTGACTGAGCTATCAGACATTTATCTCTAAACTTTTTAAATTTTCTTACATATGCAGCACATTCAAAACATATGTACGGTGGAAAGCTATCTGTGTTGATCACCTGAAAATAACATTTTAATAATAAACATTTAGAAACCATATCTTTAGGTTTATCAGTCTATTTAACGTGAAATGTATCTAAAATTTTATAGTTAAACTATTTATCTATCCTATTTAAGAGCTGCGCTCTTGTCGGTGGAGCTCTTGCCACTCACTACGATTTTCAGCGAGTCTCTTCATCTCTTGATACGACACGACACCAACTCCTTCCTTGATCTGCCTGATGTAACTATGTCTCGGTCTCCCTCTCCCCCTTCCTTCCTTCTATCTTACCTTCTATTATAATGTTCATAAGTTCGTTGTTAAACTATAGAGAAATTTAATATAAATACCACCAAAAATCTATTAAAATTGTTATGGGAAAGGCCTGTGTCCAACAGTGGACAAATAAAAGCTGAAATGATGCTATGATATAAATAAATAGATCGTTAACTTTTACCTATAAATAATAATAATACTTGTTATCAATAAATAAGGGCATTTGTTTTTAATAGGAGGAAATAGAATTATTAGATATCATTGGGAGTAGAGAAGTAACTTTTTTTAAAATTAATTAATTGTTGTTAGTGCTCGCTAAACCATTAGGTTCTCTAAATTTGTTATTAACATTTTAATAAAGAAATAAGTTGAATTATCATAAAAATTACTTAATAAAGAGGCTATTGTGATTATTTCTTGTAATTGTTTATATTTATAATAAGTTTGCTATTGTAATCTTTTGGAGGAAACAATAAAGAGTATCTATCTATTTATCTTTTATTTTTTGCTATAGATTGCACAATTAAATAAACATTGAACAACAATTTCCATAGCATATGAGAAAACACCTAATTCACCTGAAGCCTAAAACATACATGAAGTAAATTCTGACAAACTTGACATGTTTTAGGGACCTAGTGTTTTTTAATTATAAAGGAATTTTCGATAATTATGCTTAGCAATTTATGTACTTTTTATAATTTAAATACATTATCATTTGTTGTTATTTGTCATGATAAACTTTATAAAGTCCATTTAATAATACTACAGCACAAGGTTAATAGTTTACGTTAGGATTATACTAAGTCTATGAATGCTAAAAATAGCATTTCCAAGTGCATCAATGAACACTATTAAAGGTATCTAAATAGGTAAGTGGCAAGGTATGCTTAACACAGGAGGATACCAACTTGAACTACAAGTCACATTAGTAACAATTTACGTAGATATTACTCACGTCTTTTCCTAACATGGATTTCATACTATTTTCCAGATTTGCATCGATTTCAATCATCCTAACATCCATCAAAAGACACAGTCTACATGCTTTAACTTTTTCAGAATTGACCATTGTCAATTCATATAAGAAATTTGATGCCGGTATATTGTGAATTTGTGATTAGGATAAATATTTTTTTTCCAATTTAATCTGAGAATAATAATTTAAAGACATTAATCCACTTTTTAATGAAATTATATTTTTATTTCAATTTCAATAAAGTAAACATCCTTGAATTATAAACTGTATGAATAACATTAATTAAACAATTAAAAATTTCTAACATTGATTGACATAAGTCGCCAGTGTAACTATATTCAAAAGGAACATTCCACTTCCAACTTTTAAAATATATTAAAATGTACCGAAACAATTATTACATAATTAATTGTTACATTGATTAATTTATTTAGTTGTACAATTAATTTTATGAGACGAATTTAAATTTTTTTTAATTAAATAATTCTTGATTTAATTCATATAAGTGAAACAAAAACATTGTGACATAAAAAGATAGGTTACTTTATTTGTAACTTAAGAAACAATTTGAAAATAATTCTTATTGAATGAATACAATTAACATTCCAAATATGAATATCGTGAATCTCATGCAAATTGTTCTTCATTTAAACAAGGGAAATTTTTTTGAGACGGTAACCTTGATGTCACAAATTTTACTATCCACTGTCATCAGTGTTATTTGTCATTTGTTAGACTATAATTTTATGTCAGTTGTGCTGTCAATGTCAGATTGTCATCAGTCAATCCTATCCTTTTCCTCTATTAAACTTTTATTCGTTTTTATTCATTCGAACTGATTAAATAATAATTTTTACACGTTATTAATATGTGAAATTTCTTTTGATTACAATCTTACAAATTATGTTATAAATTACTGAAGGAACGTATGTAACGAAAAGGATGATAACTTCACTACAAAACACCGTAAGATGTTAGTACCAATTTGAGGTTATGACTTATTTAGATTATTATTATTTGTCCTAGTTATTATTAAATTGTTTAATTTCAGATTTACGGCTAGTTAATATCAAAACGGCATTAAACACCATTAAAGAATGTCAACCGGCTAGACTTCCTGTCGAAAAATCTTTAATATCCAAAGCGAAAACCGTAACTTTCGCTCCAAGGGGTTTGATAGTGGAAATCGCAGAGAATAAAAGCGATATAAACAAAATCAGACAGGATCCTATACCATATGTTCCTATTATTAATCCTCTATCAATTTTACCTCTGATCGAATCAAACTGGAGGAAGGATGAAATAGGGTTGCCAGCTATAAAAAAGGAGGAAATCCAAGCGATAAGGTTAATTGTAATTAGACGGAAAAAAATGAAGAAGCACCAGCGCAGGAAGTTGTGGAAGAGAATGAGACATCGTTGGGCTCGGGTAATTTTTATTTGTAATAAAATTTTTACACAATATTTTATGGCAAACAAGCTGACAATGGCCATCTGCTTGAAAATGGTTATTGTCGCCTATAGAAATGAACAACATCATAGATGTAATAACCCAAATATGATACCCATGTTAACTCTTATTCCTTGGTGTTTTGGAGAAATATTTTCTCCATACCCTGTAATGGCACTGCTGTGTTCCACCTTCAAATTAAAAAAAAACTACAAAATTGCTGTTCACCAAAAACATGACAGTGAGGTACTTTTGCAAATGTTTTTTGTAACTGTCCACTGCTGAACATAAGCCTTCCCCATAAGGGGAGTTTTGCCATTACATACCATGCTTGGCAGGCTGGTTGGCAACTGCAGTTAGCCTTTGGTGTGGAGGAGTATGGTCATACATATCTACTGTAAATATTATGGACTACTAGTTCCATTTCTAACAATATACCTTGTCAGGTCGACCTCCACATGGTCTCCCCTGGAACCATAGTGTTGAGCCCCAGGTGTATTCATTATGATGAGCTAACTAACCTGCTATTTCATTCTCACTTATTATCTCTCACTGGTGCTCTGCCAACATATACTGTTAGCGCAGGCAGGGTTACCATTATCATTCATTAAAAAAAATATATACTCACCAAATATTATTTATTTATTCTTAATTGCACAAGAAAACTTTGTACAAGTGGCGAGCTTAATGCCATATGGCATTCTCTACCAGCTAACCATTTTTTTTGTTGGATGAAAATGGATTGGTAACCCCGCCCGTGCTAACGGGTGATACGCTGATGGAGCACCAGTGAAGGGTGATTGTTGAAAATTAAAACAGGCCAGTTGGCCTAACATGAAGAATTAATCATGATAGTTTCCAGGGGAACCATGTGGAGGTCGACCTGGTTAGGTATATTGCTAGCAATGGGATTTTTAGTCTCCATTACTAACAATCCCTTTCCCCCCCAGCTAACCATTAGGTAAGTCCTCAGGAATGGCAACGCATGAGAGGGTATCATGCGCGAAACAGTATACTCTGTTATGTCCATGGTACTGTTCATGTCTATAGGTGACGGTTACCACTTTCCATCAGGTGGGCCATCAGCTTGTTTGCCATTCTATGTTGTACATAAAAAAAAAGGTAAAAACAGAAAGTGTATAAGGGCATACATTACTCTTTTTTCATTGTAAAAGTACTTATTATAGAATTTGCAATTACAAAATAAACTAAATTGATTTTCTGCATGTGAAAAGCTAAACAGGAATGGAAGTTTAAAGTTTTTCCATTTCTTATTTTACAGGTGAGGCAGCGCCGTCGCCAATACAAAGAGAAGATATTCCAGAACAGTCTCTTGGCTATGGTCAAGGAAGCCAACGAGTTCTCTGCCGAGCAATATGTCGCCGAGAAGCTGAAGAAGGTGAACCACACACCGTTACCAACTCGGTGGAGACACAAACGTCTTCCCGCCTTCATCATCAGACAATTGATGGGGATTGATAAAAAAATAAACTATAAACATACTGATGTATACAAGGCTTAGTTTGTTCATTGTTAGATTAAATACAGTTTTATTTCAGAGTTCAATACTGCATATTTAATTTTTAATAATTGATAAATAGATTAACAAAGATGTTAGTCAGCATACATTGAAATGTTGATCTGTCTAGACTTTTTTTTTTAATTTATGGCTCCTTTCGGGAGTAACAGTTAAAACTGGTTTATGTATCGTCATTGTAATATAAATAGACAATTATAGCAAACAATCTCAGCAAAACCATAGACAATGATATAGTAGTCTTATAGTCTTTGAAATCGTTACAGAGTAGCTAATCATACTCAATTTATTTACTGGTGTCTGTATTAAAATCTGTTTCTCTTTAACAACTATAAAGATGTATCTATTATCTAGATAGATCCCCGTATTTTTCTTTTTTATTGCGTGAAAATTAATAAAGCAAATATTCGTATAAAAGTTTAACAAATACAATTGTATTTAAAAAGCATATCTATTGATTGCAGTGTGTAGTATTTTGAATAAGTTAAAGAAAGTATATGTTGGAAATGATAACAAATTGTTTTATTAAGTAGACATATATACTTCTTTTTAATTTTACTTTTAATTCAGGATGAAATTAAAAAAAAAATGTTATATTTGATATCTCACGGAATTCCTTATCAAGTACGTGATTTATTTAAAACTCTTGTATATTTATTTTACTAATTTAGTCATTATTTTGCGGAAGCCCATATCACTGGTTACTTATAATAGTAGTCAATTCTCAAATGATGGCAATCTCACGCATTCTAATGGGAGTGGAATTAAGCAAAATAATTTAATTGATTAATTTTGGGTATTTTTTTATACTACTAAAGTGGCAAAGAAGCATACAGCCCGCCTGACAGTAAACGTTCATTAGACTATGAATGTATGTAACACTAAGGGTAACACAAAGGTATCAAAGGGATTTTAACGAAACTTGGTACATTATTATTCATACTCCTGGGCAGGTTATAGTATACTTTTCATCACGCTACGATCAATAGGAGCAGAGCAGTGAAGGGAAATGTGTCTGTTACATCAAATTCACTGAACAACAGAAATGCGGACGAAGTCGCGGGGCACAGCTAGATCATAACAAAGACATATGAAGACGCATAGAATATACACAAAGTTATTTGTGTCATATAATATAACATATTGTGTCGAAATTAACAGTGCGTACAAATAAACAATCGCGGTAAGAATCCATTAATTATCTATATTTAATATCTCATTCTCACACAATTTCCATTCAACTAGGTACCACGCAGAGGAACGCGTGGGCACAGATAGGTACAATGTAATAGAATTTAAATTATACCACATTAATCAGATAAGTACTTACGTAAATTATTATACCATTATATATGGGTTGCAGCGCTAGAATCAGCGATGGCATTTATTGTAGAGAATTTTACATTATCCTTCGCAAAAAGGGGGCGAATTTACTACGGGGCCAGTAAACCATTGCAAAAGGAATTACTGAAATCATTCTATTGAATATATTGGGTTTTTTTAATGGGTGATAATGGAATGGTAATCCCGCCTACGCTATTGGTATACGCTGGTGGGACACCAGTGAGGGATGATAGGTGAGGATGAAGCAGGTCAGTTAGCCCGTCGTGATGAATTCCACAAGAATTATTCACAATGATTTTCCGGGGGAATCATGTGGAGGTATATTTTTTTATTTGATTGCTTCTAACTGCGGTCCATGCTAAGCCGGATTACTTAAACGTTTTATTACGCCTTTCTTGATCCAAGTTATACTTAGTAGGAAACATAGATCCTGGAAGAGAATTTTATACTTTGACAGAGATAGGAGATGCCAAACTTGGTCCTAGTGTGAATCTTATCAACAGTGTATCCTGTTAAAACATATTTGTCGTCTATAAACTCGAATACCACAGAGTACAAAACGAGACGCTTACGGTACTCTTAGGTACTCTTTATACATTACTATTCCTGACCACTAAAGACTAAACATTAGACAGATATAGCTACAAAAGTTATTAATAAAAAAAATTTTAAATTTAATTTTTATACTTCGCCGTCAGTGGCGATCCACCCAGACAGAAGATTTAGGTCGCGGCGTTTTCGATGTAAATTTTTTGCTTTATGATAAACTTCCTAATTACGAATTCGACGTTCTGTTGACATGGATTAATGGCGCACGGGCGGCAGCCCGCTCGTTAGACGAATACACACGGGACGGGAAACGCGACACCGTGAACTCCGACGCGGGATAGCGCTATTGTCTATTATTACAAGGAATTGCTTGATAACAATGGCAATGGAATACATTGTTCAAAAAATAAATTAATCAGAGTAACGATGGTAGGCTTCGTCACGCAATATATGTTTGGCTAAACGTAGGCATTTCATAAACTGTTAGCCGTATTCGAAGCTTCGTCAAGTAACTTAGTGAACTATGAGGAGGGCTATGTATTAGAAATTTAGATTAGATACATGTTTAGATGTGTACTTACTGTGTAATCATGGGGGGTATCATGGGCGAAACAGTATACTCTGTTATGTCCATGGTACTGCTCAGGTCTATAGGCGACGGTTACCACTTTCCATCAGGTGGGCCGTCAGCTTGTTTGCCATTCTAAGTTGTATAAAAAAAAAAGTAATAGCATCCAAAACATAGAAAAAATGAAACTGATTTATATAGTCCTTCATGTTTGTTTTTTCTTCCCAGACTTTTAAGTCCGACGATCCATTCCATCAATCAAATTTAATCCAAGGATTTTAAGTCTATTGCTAGGAATATGTCCTGTCTAATCGACTTCCACGCGGTTTCCCAGGAAACCATTGTGTGAACCAGTTTCAGTTAATTATGTCATTCTTATTACAAGTTTGTCATATTCTATTCTAATTTCGATAAAATAACAAGTTTTCTATGTAATAATATTAATAATAAAATGGTAAATTTCTAAATTTATCCATTTTTTACGTTGAGCCGATTGACCAGGTTTCATTGTCATTTATTATCTCTCATTAGGATTACGGCGACGTATATAAATAACGCAGACAGGGTTATCATTCTATTATCATTCATTGAAAAAAAAAACTCAGTTTTACAAACGGACATTTTATCTGCGGACGAATTGTAAATATGGAGTAAATAAATGTAGATATGCAATAGAGGCGTTAAGTAGTAGTGGAGACCGTGACAATTACGAAGCAAATCGTTAAATTTTTTCAGTGTGAACTTTCCACTTCACGTTTGGGCCGATCTGTCTCAATTTTTCGTGTACAGGCTCTTTGAAGTTCGTCGGGTCCGGTGCGCTGTTTATATTGTATGTGAATGTTGAGAATTTATGAGGGCGTTCCTTAGGAAAAAAAAATATAAGTATTTTTATATATTTGTTTAAGTAAAAAGGTGGTAGGTAAGTGGATAGGTCGCAATAGGTTTCCAAGCGAATGTAGGTCACACTAAAGGAATGCTTCAAGAAAATCTTTTTCCTTTTTCATGTTTCTTGGACGTCACACCTATAAAAAATAAGAAGTGACAAACGTCGGAATAGTACATTATTGCAGAGACCAGCAACTGAGGCATTGATGGTCCATCAATGTCTAGTTGTGGCCAAGGCTTGTATAGTACTTTTCTCAAACAATGCGCGGAAATCAAAAACACGATTTTACTTTTTAAGTTCAATGACGAATAATGAACAACAATATTTTTTTCACGCGCCATAATGTTCCTTAGTTTTTTTTTTCAATAAACAGCTTTCTATTTGCAAGCCAATTCGAAATTTAAATAAAACCTTTTATTAGTTACCTCCTTGATAGCCATGTTTCGAAGTAAAAGGTCATTCCATTTTTAAATTACAGGACAGATATGAGTTTACATAGTAATTTATCTAGCCGCAAAACACGACAGATATGGATTTTCATACAACCTTTGCCGGCCGTTGCCCGCATGTATCTGGCCAGTACGGCAATTTTGATTTATCTCGAAGAAGATTGTCAAAATAATGCTCACATTTCCAAGCATGTTTGAGAAAAAAGTATTTACATTCTTAGCTACCTATTCGTATGTTATTAAACGGACTATTCGTCTTTTGACATTTAGTCAATTCCCTGTAAATCCACTTAAAGAATGACCTAAATCTCGTACGGTCTATTAATCTAAATAGTACAAAAAGGAACAATCTATAAAGGTTGTCTGCGAGAGATTGCCCTAGCGATAAGACCGCCTTTTGTGCCTACATTGTATTTGTATTTATTTTTCCTTTTTCAAATTCTGTATACAGCCAGCATCAAAGACGATTAACACGGTAAGAGTTAAAAAAAAGCACGCGCTTTACTTTGTGCGGATTTTGGAAATAAAAAAACAAATAAAATACATCATTTCTAGATGGTGTACAAAAATAAAAAATACACCTGATTTTTAATTACACATTAAAGAGGGAGACTTTGTACAAAAGTCGTTTGCTTGACAGAGGTACCCTGTCCCATTCGTGTTTCAACCGTGAAGCAGTTGTGTTTGCATGGTTGTGTTTCGGTTTGAAGGGTTCCCACCCTGGATGGTATCATGGAGGAAACAGTATACTCTGTTATGTCCATGGTACTGCTCATGTCTATAGGCGACGGTTACCACTTTCCATAAGGCGGGCCGTCATCTTGTTTGCCATTCTAAGTTGTATAAAAAAAAGATAAGTATGAAAATAAAATACCAACGTATGTACATTATTTATAATGTACATGGTACTGTTTATGTCTATTGGCAACGCGACCTTTATAACAAACCCTTGATGGGTTTACTAGGGATTTACTATTCTTAGTTGCATAAAAATATAAGATTTATTAATATTCTGTTATTTGTATGTTCATATTACTTGGCACTGAATCCATCTTATCTTAGAAATGCGGAATAAGAACAATCACTGCGTTTCAAGTTATTATATTTTGCGCAACATTTTCGCCGCTTAATAAATTATTTTTTTACTAAAAAAGGTTCTCTATTAATCTGTATTTTTTTTTATATTTTTGTTTTTACAACACAGGGGGCAAACGAGCATGCGTCTCACCTGAT